CAAAAACAGTTTAACTGTCAGAAGTTTACCGAGAACTCTATGAATATAATCGATGTAGTTGTACAAAACAAGACACATTACATAAGGATGTCTTAATAACTTTTTGTCTCGACGTGCAGACTAATCTAACAAAAAGCAACGTTAGCCGAACAAACCCAGAAATGAAGCTTGAAATTAAACCCAAAAAGAAGAACAGAAACCTCCGAACTTTAGCTTAACACAAAAACTATAAGAAGAATTTTTTAGTAATTGCATCATTATACAAATTATATATCTTGCCCACCTAAATGTTTTTATTAATTGAAACTTTTAATAAGACAATTTATAAAAGTTTTGCCGAAAATTCCCCATCATTTTAGTACCTGTTAACCAACAGACTTTGAGCAGGATTGTAGCAAAACAGACCTGCGAACAATTCAAAAAAACTGTCATAGATTGCATACGTCCTTTGTACAAAAAAAAATTCATTTTTCTTTACCATTTGTCGCCAAATAATGTCAGGTAAAAAGTGGAACTTTTGTAGCCGACAACAACAGATAATTTAATCACGCAGTTTGACGCCATAATTACTCTTTTTATCCAAGTGTTATTGAACGAGACCAACACAGCGTAAATAGAGCTTTTCACGTGTACAGAATCACAACTCTAATTTAAACAAAAGGAAGGGGCCACAGGATTCTGACAATTGTCTTAACTGCTCAGTTTTTTGGCTTCTTTTTTCGCACTTGCTTCTATTATCCGACCGGTTTTGCAGTGACGATTCATCAACTTTCTGCACCAACAAATCAGAATTCCCGTCCATTAGAATATCTCAGGGGCTTTTCTGGTACCGCACTAACGACTCTGAAACAAGGCAGTTCTTTATTCTTTTGAATCATTTGTCATCATTTCGAAAGCCTGATACGCGAAATGGACACTGATAAAAACAGTTTTTCATGGTTATCTAAATCCCTTCATTATTTTATACAATTTCGACGCTGTTCGATTTAGAATCCGTTTATAATTTTTTTTTCAAAGACAAAATAGCCATCGTTTGACATAATTTCGAAATATTGCAGAGTTTTTTCTTATTGCTTTATTCTCAAAAAAGTTTCGTGTCTAGGGATGGGTCAAAAATTTTGGTGATTGCCATTGTGTTCTCAGCCAATACAATGTTTTTTTGCAGCGTAATATAAATTACTTCAAAATGTCGCAGAT